TGGCTGGGAGGCAAGGGGACTGTTTTTAGGGGTTGGGGTCAGTTCTGAAGTGAAATCAAGTCCCTGTGGGGTGCAGGAGGCTTACAGGTGGGCAAGGGTGCAGGGGGGTAGAGTGGCAATCTGCCTCCCCAGGGCTGTAGTGTGTCCCCCACCCTCTGTCCTCCCTGTGCACTGGGGGGGCTCATGCACCTCCAGGGTCCCAGCTCCTGTGCCCCACACTCCTCCCCATCACGCTCAGCCTCTCTGAGCTGGGGAGCATCTCCAGGTCCCAAATCCCAGCCTGTCCTACAGGTGTTTGGGGCCTCTGGGGAAGTGGCGAAGGATCCCCCACTCCCCAGGGATGCCCCCATCCCTGGAACAAGGCCAGGCTGGGATCCCCTTTTACACCAGTACGGACTGGGGGCTTCCTCTCCCTTTGAAGGGACTTTGATGAGGGCGGGAGTGCTGCTGGCAGAGGTGACCCCTCTCCAGGGGTTGGCCTGTGTGTCTCCTCTGCAAGCAATCTGCAGGGCCCCAATCCAGACAGCGTTTTGGACGTGCTGCTGGCAGGGCAGGAGGATCCAGCATGGATCCAGGACACCCCTGGGCAGCTCCAAAGCCATCCCTCCCTGCGAGGCTTCCCGAGGCTGCACGGTGCTGTGCTCTGCTGGGGACTGGGATCCCCCCGCACCAAATCCCAGCCTTCTCCCCACAAAACCTCCTCAGCACCTCTCCTCCCCAGAGCCAGCCCCCTTGGTCTGGGGGTCTGATGGACTGGGGGCTAACTCTGGCCGGTGGGGGTGAGAGCACACAGCCTATTTAGAGGGTAAAAGAGATATTTTTACTCCCTTTCCTTGACCCCTGCCTCTGTTTCTCTAATTGTTACCTCCCTTTCTGAAGCTCCGTTGTTTCTAATTAAGGGTTTGACTTCAATAGATCTTAAATTATGATTTCTGAGGTTCCCTGGCTGGCAGACAGCAAAGAGGGAGCGCTTCCCCACCCCTGCCACCCCTTTCCCCCAAAAGTGACCTTATTAAGCAGTTTGATTTGCCCGTTTCCACTTGTTATTCCT